CAGGAGTGTACTGGTAAGCCCACTCTCAAAAAAGGGGAGAGGGAAAAGAAGCCCTCGTTTTCAGTGTTTGCTGATTTCCATGGTGTGAATACACCCATTATGACCAATTTCAAGCTGTCAACGTGATGTCACTAAATAGTTGGGAAGAGATGTTTAAAATGGGTTCTGGCGAACTGGTATATTGCAGGCCAGCTCCAGCATACTTCCGGTTCTGGGGACCTGGGAAGGGAAAGTGCTGGTTGTCACATATAGACTGCTGGGCTACATATGGACTGTGACCTTCCCAAAGTCACATGCCATGCTGACGTGCTAGCACGAATCAGTACAGCCATGCACATCGCAAGCAAGCAATATACCTCTAGCTGAGATTTATCGAATGCAAAATGGGAGTGAGCTACCTCAGGGACTGTGCACCTATTTCATCAAGTGTGAGTCTCCAGGCACCACCACCACCACCTTCCCTCCGAGACCTGGAACTGAAGGAAATGACTTCAGGTGCTTGGACTTGCCATTTGTTTATTCATTCACTCAGCAGGCATTTTCCTATTGCCCCTCTCTGTGCTGGGCACTCTGCTGGGGACCAGGGAGACTGAGGAACAGGACAGACATACTCACTGCCCTGTAGATCTCATGAACACAGGATTATGACAGCCAGACTCCTAGAACCAGGTTTTGGTTCCATCTCCAACATACTGTGTGGCCTTGAGCAAGTCATTTAACCTCTTCGGGCCTCAGTTTCCTCGCTCGTAGAATAAAGGAGTTGGACTTGATAGTTGCTCAAGTCTATCAGAGCTCTGACCTTCTGTGGCTCCAGGGAGGAGAGAGAGTCTGGAAGACCCCATGAGGAAGAGATAGAGGGACTGGGAATGTCTTCATGGGAGAACAGTAGAGGGGAGAGCAGCTTGGACCCCTGAAGGTCCATTGTGAGTGGACCTTTGTGAGAGGAGTGGACATGTTGAATGTGGTTCCTGAGGACAGAAGTCATGGGTGGAGATTATTATGGGAGTGGGTCATTTTGACTCCGTCTTGGAAGATCTTGGGCACAATCGGAGCTGCCCAGCCACGGCACCGGCCACCTTGTGAAGGAATGAGCACCTTTCACTTGATCACAGGCTAGAGACCACCTGCCTTGGCCACGTGGACAGGACCCCTGGCAGGGAGGTCGTGACTGTAAACCCCCATAGTCATCAGTTCTGAAGGAACAAAAAAAGAGTCATTCGATCTACTGTGTTGCATGGAAAAAGTAAACAGGACACGAAAAGATGACAACTCCGTAAAATACAAGTAGATGCCATAGGTAAAAGACTAGAAGGAAAACCATCAAAATGCAAATAATGATTGGGTTGGAATCGACGATTATGGTGGTTGGTTTTCTCTATTTCCCAAATATTTGGTAGTGTGGTGACATTGTTTTTGAAATGAAGGCAATTTCATTCTTTGTGGAAAGTCATCTAGTTTCGCCCTTATCCCAGGACAAGGAGCCATCCTACAAACCACTAAACTGTCTTCCAGTTCCTTCAGAGAGGTTCACCCAGGCCTGACACCAGGGAGCAGGGAGACTAATGATGGATGCCTGCTGAGTGCTAGACCCTGAGCTGGGGACAGAGTCTGAGACACAGTCCCTACCCTCAGGAAAGGGGCCAGACTGGCACAGTGTCTCTATCAATCTTTAAACAGCCATGGGGGGTGGGTCCCATATTATTAAAACAGCAGGTGTCCTGCTCTCGGACCCCTCGGAGGGACCCCAGCCTTCCCTTGGGTCAGAGTGGGTGCTTTTGGGAGCGGATAGCCGGTCATCCTAGAGTCCAGCCCCTCAGAGTCCCCATCTACATGTGCCTTCACTCCGTCAGCCTGCAAGGGTCAGATTTGCCATCAAAAATGACAGCCGCTACTTTTTTCTTCTGTATTTGGATAAACACTGAAGAAGCTGGAGCTGTTCAACTTTATCTTGGGGAAAACCTCAGAACTGGTTTATTTGGTGTCATGGAACCTCTTACTGCTTTCAGGACAGAATCAAAAACAGAGAGGAGAGGAGAGGGGAGGGAAGTGGAGAGTAGGTGGCCAAGCCAGGACCAGGACCCAGGTCTGGGGGTCTCCATTGCACTTGAGGAATTCAAGGCAAGCTGGTGAGCCGCCCATTCAATTCTATAATTTGATGTGATAAAGGCCAAGGCCCCGGGCATGTTGGCAACTATGGGACAGAGTCTAGCTGTTGAGAAGGTGAAGGGTTTCCCTGTCCCCAACTATGTGGCACGCGCTCTCTCTCTCTCTCTCTTGCACACACACACACACACACATACACACGGCCTTCACCCGGCAGCATCTACTTCCTGCTCCCCCAAACCCTTCTTTCCCTGCATTTCTGGTGCTCCCTTTCCCCTTCCTCTGCCCCAGGTACACAGTCCTCCCACCACCACTCACTTTGCTCCCACGGAGAAAGGCCTCCCTGTTTCCAGGGCTAGCAAAGTCCATCTCCTCCCATAAAAGACTCAGTGAGTCCTGGAGACACTTGGAACCCAGACAGAATGGAATTTCTCCCTATTTTCTTTACAGCTAAGAAAACACAAACACAAGGGCATATTTATTGCCATATTTCTATCCCAAAGTTTGTCTTTTAAAAAGAAGAAATAAAATGGGTTTCTCTACCCACTCCACGCCGCTCCCCACCCCCACCCCTCCACAACCCAAATCCCCGCCCTTTTCATTTCTGGTCGAGGCCACGGAGAAAAACAGAGCTGGTCCAAGCCCCGCAGAGGACCACAGCATCCGGGACAATGTCGGGCTTGTTCAGAGTGAGGAGAGAAACACAACTCCGAAAACATACACAAACTTCCCAGTGAAGGGAAGAGGAACAGGCCGGCCTTGTGTCTGGACATGAAATCCCTGAGCCTCTGGGAAGAGAGGAGCCCACAAGTCTAGCCCCCTCCCCAGAGTGGAGGGGACACCTTACCCTTCGAGCCTCCGGGGGACTATTTCCTGGCCGTGAGTGGTCACACTCGGCTGAATGAGAGCGCCACAGCTCGGTGACCCCTCACAGTGCCAAAACTCGGAGCCCCGGAGAATTTTTTTTTTTTTTTTTTTGAAGGCAGCATCTAAGGAGGAAAATCCCTAAGGAGAAGTGAGGGGCTGCTTCTTAGGCCTTTGGGACTTTTCAGACTTCCTGTGCTGTGACGAAGACCTGCCTCATGCATTTATCTCTGTGCCCCTAGCAGTGTCCACATAGGCTTTTCATTTCTAGGGTGACATGGACACGTGGAATGAATGAAGGATCATGGTGGAAAGATCACTCAGAACAGCAGAACAGGGTCACCCAAGAGAGTCCCCGGAGTCCTGGGCCCCAGCCACCCCTCCCCCATGCATTCCTAGAATGGGAACCCCAGGAGTCCCCTCATCCCCAGACCCATCCAGCCCCACCTGATGGTGACTATGTCAACAGCGACACCTGCTGGGCCATCAGACTCTGACGGAGCCAAGGTGGGAAGCCCGAGCCACCACCTCATACTCTCAGCTCCAGAGACCTTCAGTCTCAGGTCATCTTTTCCTTCTGACACTTCCTCCTCTCTCCCTGTGCAGTGTCTGTGATGCAAACATGTCTTAAACCAAGACTGCACATTGGCAGCCTGGAGAGGAGGGCAGGGTGGGTGCCTATGCAGTTCCATCCAACAGAACAACTAATGCATACCATCGGGCGCACCTTGCAGAGGGCAAGTCCCGAGTGTCTAGCCAGTGCTGCTCCATCTTGGCTGCACGTTAGAACCTTCCGGGGAGCCGTTTCAATGCCCGAGGGCCAGACCGAAGCCCCAGTGATTTCAATGTGCGGCTGAGGTTGAGAACCTCTGCTCTGCTTGATCTCTTATAAATTCAGCTGGGCTTTCTTGGGGTCTGCTTGCACCAGCCCACGGGGAGTCAGGGTCCCAATTGTGCAGGAAATGTCCTTTATGCTGTGGTTGTCACAGATTGGTATACTTAGTATGACAGCTTTCCAGCAGATGTCAATAAGGAAGGCTTGGTTTTCTGATTCCTACGAAGTCACTGTTTGGGCCTGTAGGAGGGCTCCAGGGGTCCTGGGCTCTTGTTTCTCTCCTAAATGATTAATCTGTCCATCCCACAGCCTCATCAGAGGTCTCCGGGTGAGCATCCTTCCCAGCCAGGCCCCTGAATCTCACCCGACACCTTGGAGCATTCTCCATTCTAAAATACACAAGATTCCTGGATTTGAAGTTGGCGGCAGATCCAAATTTCATCAGGGCGGTCGGGTAATTCATGTCATTTCTCTGGGCTTGGGGGTTCTCCAGAGAGACAGAACCAGTTGCAAGTGTGTGTGTGTGTGTCTGTGTGTGTAAAGAGATTTATTACAAGGAATTGGCTCACACAATTATGGAGGCATTCAGCAAACTGGAGACCGAGGAGAGCTAGGGTATAGTTCCAGCCTGAGTTTGCAAGCTCAAGACCCAGAAAGGGCCGATGATTCAGTTTGAGTCTAAAGGCAGTTTGAAGGTCATCAGGCAAGAGGATTTACCTCTCGCTCAAGGGAGAGTCAGTCTTTGTTCTATAGAGGCCTTCAGTTGATCGGATGGGTCCCACCCAAGTTAGCAGAGCCATCTGCTTTACTCAGTCTACAGATTTTAATGTTTAAGCTCATCCGAAAACACCCTCACAGACACACTCAGATAATGTTTGACCTAATACCCGAGCACCCCGTGACCCAGTCAAGTTCTGAGAACCATCACGGAGATCCTTTAAGATGGAGCCTTCGCTGGGTGAAAGATGGGAAATTCCCTTAAAAAGGTAGGAGGACGTTTCCAGCCTAACACCTGTCATTGAACCGGGAAATCTGTGAAGGTTTCGTGAGGAGAAGATCCTTGGAGAAGCACATGCAGCCTCCTTATCCCAGTGTGATTTCAGATCCTCAGACGTGGAGTTTATCACCTGTGCTGTGTGTCACGTGACCCTCCTCGACCTCACCAAATCTAAACCTCCAAATAACACCTCTGCCTCCCCTCTTCCAGGTGAACTATGACCACTTTACTCTTGGTGTTTGTGACTCTGAGGGTCATCACCGCAGCTGTCTCAGTAGAAGTTTCAGGTGAGGACATTCCCTGTGCATGTCTCATTAATGCAGCTGGCACTGAGGACTGGGTGCTGGGTTCTGGGTACTGAACCTGGTGCTATTAGTCCCAGGGATAGAATTCCCCCTTTTCTGGCCTTTTCCTGGCCCTGCCCCTTTTCTGGCAAAGGTGAGCATAACTGCAGTGGGAGCTCCTGTGCGTGAGAACACACGTGCATGCCTGCAGGAGTCTTCCAGGATGGATAGTTGATGGGGGGAGCTCCTGGCAGGCGCCTACCTTCCCAGCATCCTCTCCATGCATCTCACCTAGAACCACTGCACACTGAGCTTGGGGTTGGGGCAGGACATAGAGAAACCAAGAGAAAAAGTGGCCGAGGGAAGATAAGCTGGAGCATCAGAGATAGTCGCCTGAGAAAGAGTCAGAAAGAAGCCCCAACAAATCACACAGATCTTTGTCTTTCTTGACAAACCATCCTTAGGAAGTCCCCGCACCTGGCCTCTTACATGTGGCAGGCACCAGACAGATTTCTGATCAATTCCTGAGACAAATGAACGAACTCTCCACCAACCCCAGGACGAGCTCACTCCAAAATAGGATGTATCTCACTCAAACCCATGCACTTTAGAGCCCCCCACCAGTGACCCTCCTCCAGCCCTCATGCTCCCTAAAGGGTGAAGAGTCTTTAGGGACAACAAGACATGTCTACCCAGACCTGTGTGCCCCCTTTAGACCACACTCTGGGTACCTAGGACGCCCAAACTTCCCTGCCCGAGTGGACTCGAGCCACTAGTACCACATGGGTTCCTCCTCTATGGGGGTCATGCCCCTGGTGTGAGCCACCCCTAGGCCCGAGGGAGAGGTAAAAGGGTGACTGTTTGTATGGGGTGTGGGCAAAGCTAGGTGTGAGGGCTGGGATCAACACAGTCCCCTCACCGTCCAAAGTAGTGATGGGAAAAGAAGGGGGCTTGGCTCCCAGCCCCCCAACTGGACACCACATCCCAATGCCAAGCCCCAAGAATCGCTACATTTGAATCTGGCCTTTCATTTTGAAAGTTATCATTGTTAATTAGGAAGATAGAACATATTTTATTTAACGACCTGTGTGCTTGATTTATAACTTTGAAATATTTAGACATATGGTATCTGAGTCTCCATTTGTCCTCTTGCTCTGGGACCCACAAATACCCAGCCCCTGGCTGTAAACCTGCAGTGGTTTGCCCACACAGTCAAACCAGTTCACTAGGGTTGGTGGAGACCTTCAAAAACGGCAGAGCTGGGCACTGCCGTCACTTTCGGCTCTCCCCAGAGGACCACCATGCTGGGTCGTGGAGCTAGGGCTGAGCATTCAAAGGGAGATTTTTGTGGAAGAGCCTGATGGTGACTGCCCAGGACATCAAAAGGTTAGGGCTGGACCCCAAACATTCCTGGCTCCCCCCTTTCCTTGCCCTGTTATGTACCTACCACCCACAAATATCTGAGACATTTTTATGTTCAACCTGTAGCCTCGCCTGGGAAAAAGGATTTCGTAAGTGTGCGACTCACTATGAAAGGTGCTATTTTTTTTCAAAAGCTCTTTCTTTCCCACTCTAGGAAGACCTTTTACTTCTAACGGGATTCGGTAAACATGCAGCGACGTCCCGACGAATACTCTGTATGATGTTTTTCTAGAACCTGGTCATATCCCACCACTATCCCCATTGGACTCTCTGAAAACTTAAATGTCTGATCTTCTCGATGCTTCTTCAGCTGGGTCCCCCAGTTCCCCAACAAAGTCAGGATGGAGCCCAAGGCAGACCTCCTCATGGGGGACCTATTTCTGAAGTTTTATCTCTTAGCTTTTTAAGACGTATTGATTTTTTTTTTCCCCTTCCTCTTAATAATTTTTCTATCCCAAAATAATTTCCCCTAAAAATCTCAAGCTGTCATTCTGAGGAGAGGGGTCATGTTTATCCTATGGCGTGGCATCCCCTGAGGCACCCCAGTTTGAGACAGAGGCGGTCTCAGCTCTGAAGTTCCCCCTGCCCTTCCCAGCAACCCTTTCCTGGCTCCATAGCTCCTGTCTTCAGGCGCAGACACCAGGGTCTTGAAGAACGCTGCTCTGGGAAGGGTATTGCAAGGCTTCCTGGGAATTCTGTACAGTGCAGAGCTCCCCTCATCACGGACACAGACAGGCTTATTGGATTTTGTCATTTCCAGAAATGCTGACAGGTAGGCTGCTTCGTCCTCTCCAGGTACTAACGAGTCTGTCTCTCACCCGCCTCCCCACCTCTCTCCCGCAGACCCTGACAACTCACTGAGTGTCAGCATCCCCGAACCATCCCCACTGCGGGTCCTCCTGGGGACCTCCGTCACCATCCCCTGCTATTTCATCGACCCCATGCACCCTGTGACCACCGCCCCCTCCACCGCCCCCCTCGCCCCGAGAATCAAGTGGAGCCGCATTTCCAAGGAGAAGGAGGTGGTGCTGCTGGTGGCCACTGAAGGACAGGTGCGGGTCAACAGTGCCTACCAGGACAAGGTCTCGCTGCCCAACTATCCCGCCATCCCCAGCGACGCCACCTTGGAAATTCAGAGCCTGCGCTCCAATGACTCTGGGGTCTACCGCTGCGAGGTGATGCACGGCATCGAGGACAGCGAGGCCACCCTGGAGGTCGTGGTGAAAGGTGAGAGCCTCCCCAGGGACACTGGTTGACCTGTGGAAAGAACCAGAAAGGTGTCTTCCCCATGAGTAATTTGCACCTCCGTCAAATTACTCAGACCCAACTGTGACCGAGACCTGGTGATATCATTCTCTCTGGACTTTGAGGGGATTGAATAGTTCCTGGCCACAGTCACGTGGAAATGACAGTCTGTCCTTTGCAACGATCCCGTGATTCTGAGGGCCTTGTGATCATCCTCATTGCATAGACAAGCAAACTGAGGCTGAGAGACTTGCCTGGAGCTGCCCTGGATGGGAGCCAGGGCAGCCTTCTGAATCCTCATCCAGGTGGCTTTTCCTTCCCCCACCTCCCCACCCCCATCTTCGGTTCCAGAAACCCAAGAAAGGGATGAAGATCCCCAGTCCCCTTTCTCTCGATGGCCCGGAAAGAATAGTTGTGCCCTTGGTTGGCTTCAGAACTTTGGTCAGCACCAGACTTTTCTTGTTGGGAGACAGTCCACTCCTGGGGGTGCCTTAAACGGGGCTCCCATGGCTGAGGATGCCCCTTGGCTGAGGGTACACGGGACTCTCAGTGTCTCTTTCCCCAAAGCCAACGTGCGGTCCTGGTGTGACACGAAAAATTATAAGGAGGCAGATTTTAGTTCAATTCAGAGAACTTTCTGAGTATCAGAATTATCATAGGTATTCAAAAAAGAAGCCCTGTGGGTAGTGAGTTCCCCATCACTGCAGGTATGCCAGCAAAGGCGGAAGGACCACGTGCAGGTGTGGGAAGGGGATCCATGCAGCAGCTAGACCAGATGACTCCAAGGTCCCTGTGACTACTGCTCTAATTCTGCGAGGACCTGAGTGATGGGAGGCTGTGCCTGACCTGCTCTCTGGCCCGCGCCTGTCTTGCAGGCATTGTGTTCCATTACAGAGCCATCTCCACGCGCTACACCCTGGACTTCGACAGGGCGCAGCGAGCCTGCCTGCAGAACAGCGCCATCATCGCCACACCCGAGCAGCTGCTGGCCGCCTATGAGGACGGCTTCCACCAGTGTGACGCCGGCTGGCTGGCCGACCAGACCGTCAGGTGAGCCCCCAGGCCTCCAGCGGGGAGGGGAGGACGATGGGCTGGCACGTTGACCAGCACTGAGCTGCTGCCACTGTGACACTATGGCCAGCCGAGGTTGGGGCTAGAGGAAGCCATGGCCAACTCTAGGTCCCAGATCCTTGTTCTTCTGACCTGCAATGGAGTGAGTGGCTGCTAGCCGCTTTGTCTGACAGGAGCATTCTCTCCATGCAAATGACACATCATCACTCTTCCAAAATCTAAAATATTTCCTATCTGGCCTTTCACAGTAAAGGTTGGTAGTCTCCTGATAGAACATACTTGGTGCCAAGAAACATTCAGTAAATATTCAATAAATATCCAGTGGGCTGCCTTTAATCACCAATAGCTGTGAAAATGCACATCTCAATAAAGCTGGAGAAAACCTGTGAAAACAAAGAGTGTACACATTCAAGGCCGACACCAGCAAACGCATCAGCAAGTCACCGCATCCTCCCACAAGGGAGGAGGATACAAGGGCACAGGACACAGGCCTGCTCTGTCCCTTAGTGTCACACCTTCCACTTTGTGTTCCTGGCAGATATCCCATCCACATTCCACGGGAAGGCTGCTATGGGGACAAAGACGAGTTTCCCGGTGTGAGAACCTATGGCATCCGAGACACCAATGAGACCTATGATGTGTACTGCTTCGCCGAGGAGATGGAGGGTGAGGCCACCGCGCCCCTTTCCCAGGGGATCCCTTTCCATCCCCTTCACCCTCCTGACTCTTGAAATCCTGAGGACCTCCTCTGGGGCAGGGCGCTAACCCAGGGCATCACATACTCCACCCTCCCCTGCCATGCCCAGTGAGGAGTCGGGGAAGGGAGAGTAGGGCCTATAGGCCCAGGACCTCCTCTGGGGCAGGGCACTAACCCAGGGCACCACATACTCCACCCTCCCTGCCATGCCCAGTGAGAATGGGGGGGAGGAGTCGGGGAAGGGAGAGTAGGGCCTATAGGCCCCAGTGGTCCCAGGCTCCTGCAAACTTTTCGATGCCACCACTGGGCCCAAGAGTGTTTGTTGCTTGTCTCTCAGCTGGGAGAGCCCCCTCCCAGCCAGGACCCCTGCTGCTCTGAGCATCCATCACTGTCCCAAGGTCCACTGCACCATCAAAGCCTAACCCAACCTTGTCACCTTCACAAAGGACACCCCAGGCCACTCCACGCTGGGCACATCAGAATTATAGATGCCAGGAGAGCTGGCTGTCCATCCACCCTCTCTCAGCTTTCCTACTGCCAGCCCCCAGCCCTGCCCAGGCCATTCCAATGGGCTGGTTTTGGAAGGAACCAACAGGAGGGCTAGCAATAAGGAACCTAGAATCTTTCTCTGGTTTGTAAAGGGCACTAATTTTAGTCACAATCAGAGCTACCCATTACCCCGGCATGTGGATGACAACCCTTTCCCCATCTGCACCCTTATGTATTCCGGCCTCTGCCACCTCGGCCCCCACCAAGCTCACAGCTTCCTTGGGGCCAGAGAAAAAAAGAGTGACAACCTGGTTCGTTCTGAGGCAGGGACAGTCCCCAGCTTTCTCGCCACTATGGCCCCCTTTCCTCATTCTCAACTAACAAGTATTTGTGTTCCCGTTTTTGGCTAACAGAAGACAAATACAATGGCCAATCAGAGCCATCACTGAGCAGAGACAACCAGGGCTATCCCCAGGTTCGATGCCCATTGCCCAACCCCTACCCCTACCCCTGGCATAACCTTGTCAGGTTTTTGGAAATAGTGAAGAGAGCTTACAGACCCCACTAATGCCCTTGTGGATGCTTTGGGGCCGAGAGACCCCTGCTCTAAGGGATACAGTCTGATGTCTGCTCTTCCATCAGAATTTGAATTTCTTAAAAGGATTGCTTGAACGAGTGATGCTTATCTCATAGGCATGGCGCCCTAGTGGTGGGCAGTTCCCCAGCAAAGTGAGGAGCAGAGATGCTCTGAGCAGGAATATTTCATCCTGGGCCTGACATTTGCCCTATGCTTTCCCCATGTCCTTGTTATTCGGGCAGCTTCTTTCTTGGTCCCCCTGTTTGAGGAAATCGATGTTACCCTGCCCAAAAGCCCATAGGAAGTGGAGGGCAGGATCTGAGATACAGATACACGAGGTACCTCCCTGGGGACACAGGGCAGTGAGTGGAAGATCTTTACCCTGCTGGCTGTGTCCTTCACAGGTGAGGTCTTTTATGCGACGTCTCCAGAGAAGTTCACCTTCCAGGAGGCCGCCAATGAGTGCCGGCGGCTGGGCGCCCGGCTGGCCACCACGGGCCAGCTGTACCTGGCCTGGCAGAGCGGCATGGACATGTGCAGTGCTGGCTGGCTGGCCGACCGCAGCGTGCGCTACCCCATCTCCAAGGCCCGGCCCAACTGTGGGGGCAACCTCCTAGGTGTGAGGACCGTCTATCTGCACGCCAACCAGACAGGATACCCGGACCCCTCATCCCGCTACGACGCCATCTGCTACACAGGTGAGGCTGGGGCTGGAGGCCAGAAGGGGGCTCACACCACCGTAATTGTGGCCCAGAGGAAGAGATCTTAGAATAGGCGGCTGGTTTTTACCTCTTCACGGGGCCACTGAGTTTTAGCACCCCCTTTTCCACTGGTTTCTACGAGAGCTAATTCAGAGTTGCTGGAGGCTGCATTATTTGCAGCCTCGTCTTGCCCGTCCAGAATAAGGTTAAAAGGATGAGTTTAGAGTCTGTGTTTTCTCCGGCTTGAATCCCAGTCCCAGTCCTGCCACCTGCTCCTGGGTAACCATTAGAAAGACAAGGCCCTGAGCCTCACTTTTCTCATCTGTCAGTTGGGGAGCTGGCACCACATGGAAAATGGTGGGGCCTGATAGGAGACCACACCCCCACAGGAGCACTGTTATCTGCCCTTGAGAGTGAATGCACTGACGTTGAATGCGCCAAAGTGTTTTTGAAAAGAATGGGGGGAAAGTTTTGACAGGCACTTTGTTTTGAAAATTGAGACTCAAACTTTTTCAAGTAAGCTTTTTATCTTCTACTTTACACAATCTGGGCTATAATTATGATTAAGTGCTAGTTCTTAGAGGGGCAAAAAAACAATATGAAGTTGCATCAATTTTATGATAAAATCGGTGACGGCACAGTGGCCTAGCTCGTTTCATATTCGGCTTTCACGGTCGGATCTTACAGGAAGAGGGTTACTTTTGCAAAAATAATTAGGATTTCTCCCAAAGCCTTTCTCGCCCTTTCAATATTCTAACCACTCTTTTTGAAGACATGACACCCTCGTGGATTTTCTCTTTATAACTAGCTGGTTTCTGCCAGACCCTCACCTTTTCAGGCCTGACGCAAGTAGTTCTCTCATGTTTCATCAGTTTCGTGAGCCCCTGCATCTTTGGTGAGATTTTTCAGTTTCCCTTTGTATCTGATCTACATTGTCCCTTTGACTGGTTACAACATCAGATGGTCAACAAGGGGCTCAAGGGATAAGTGAGGAGGCGGCTGGCTCAGGGAAGGATCAGGGAAGAATGTTGGAGCAGGACTGGTTTTATTGGCAGTGAGCTGATGGGTCAACGTCTTGTGCTACGATGACTTGGCGTTCTTTTGCAATCTGGAACCCGTGGAGACCCCTGTAATGACTAGTCGAATAGAAGAGGACCCCACAAGGGGCCCAGCAAAGTGCCAGGCACACGGCAGGTGTTTTCCTTCCCAAGCAGGGGAGGAGTGGAGCCGGTCAGTGCTCACCTCCCTCGAGCCAGCCCCAGGCTGAGTGGCTAAAGCTTGTCTTTGTCCCCGTTCCAGGTGAAGACTTTGTGGACATCCCAGAAAACTTCTTTGGGGTGGGCGGTGAAGAGGACATCACTGTCCAGACAGTGACCTGGCCTGATGTGGAGCTGCCCCTGTCCCGGAACGTCACCGAGGGCGAAGCCCAAGGCAACGTGATCTTGACCATGAAGCCCATCTTTCCCGGCTCCCCGACTGCCCTGGAGCCTGAGGAACCTTTCACATCGGCCCCCGACGTGGAGGCCACTGCCATCCCTGAGGCCGAGAGTGGGACTGAAGAGGCCACCGGGCCCTGGGCCTTTCCTGAGGAGTCCACACCTGGCCTGGGCCCCGCCACGGCTTTTACCAGCGAGGACCACGTCGTGCAGGTGACTGCAGCCCCAGGTGCAGCTGAGGTCCCTGGGCGGCCACGATTGCCCGGAGGTAAGTGCCCACTCCTCACGGGGCTACATGGAGCAGTGTGGGGGTGGAGAGGGGGCATATACTGAGAACTTGGTCTGGGAGTCTATGCCTTCATCTTGACCTGGGACCTGGGACAAGCCTCTCTCTACTTAAACTTGGCTCTCCTTGTTTGTACAACAAAGGGGACAGGCCAGACCAGTGACGTTCACCCTCTTTTGCCGCAAAGCATTTCCTTCAGATGAAGTCGTGGGTGGTAACGTGTGTGTGTGTGTGCGCGCGCGTGTGTATCAGGCAGATACAGGGGTTTCGGCGAAGTGGAATGGAGAACCGGGGCTTGTCGGTCCAGGGCCTTCCTCGCCCAGTCGGGCACCTCCACAGAATAGAGCCACTTGAAAACTACCGTACTGGGCGGCTCTCCAGGACAGGGGTTCGAAAACTACATACAATCTGCAGGCTAAATGCAGCTTGCCACCTGCTTTCATACAGCCCGTAAGCTAAGAATGATATGTATATGTTTAAATAGTTGGGGAAGGGAGTTGTAAGAAGAAGGAAATTTTCTGGCATAATAAAAATTGTAAATCATTTAAATTTCATTGTCCACATTGGCTGGGAATGGGATCAGAAGCAGAGAAGGGAGGAGGGGATGAAGGGAGGTCATTTCTCAAGGGGCCAGAGCTCCCTCGGGGCCCACGAAGCCTCGAGAACCAGGCACCAGGGGCATCGGCATGGCGGCACCCGGTCCATGTCCTGAGTCTACCATGTGTCTCCTTCCTTCCCCGTCCTCCCCGCCAGGAGTCGTGTTCCACTACCGCCCGGGCTCTGCCCGCTACTCACTGACCTACGAGGAGGCGCGGCAGGCCTGCCTGCGCACCGGAGCGGTCATCGCCTCTCCCGAGCAGCTGCAGGCCGCCTACGAAGCGGGCTACGAGCAGTGTGACGCCGGCTGGTTGCAGGACCAGACCGTCAGGTGAAGGACCAGCCGGGCTCCCCTCCCAGCCCAAACTCAACCTTGACAGGTCAGGGCGGCGGAGCCACATCCTGGCCCGGCGCCCAGCACAGAGCGCACACGCGCTACACTGCGGGTTGATTAATTAATTCATCGGTGACTCCATATGGCTGCTCTTAGTTTCTCCCCCAGACCTGAAGCATGTTGGGAGCGGTTAAGGAAGGGCCCTGGGTGATGTTCTGTCCTTGGTCATTTCCACCCGAGAGACAGAGAAGACCTTCTCCTTGAGCCCCACCCCCCCAGGTGCCTTCCAGCTTGACCCAGTGCCCTTCCATGCAGTGGACTCAATTCCGAAGCTAGGAATCCCCCAGGGTCCCCCAGATCCTTCACCCAGTATGAGGGGCTCCTTGCTGGTTTGAATGCCACTGGACAACCAAAGACCCTCCCCCAGGGTGGCCTACCAGCCTCACCCTTGGCCCTGCATCCCCCAACCCTGGAACAGGTTCTCATCCGCCCCTCCCACCCTCCTTTGCAGATACCCCATTGTGAGCCCGCGGACCCCGTGTGTGGGCGACAAGGACAGCAGCCCTGGGGTCAGGACGTATGGCGTGCGCCCACCATCGGAAACCTATGATGTCTACTGCTACGTGGACAAGCTTGAGGGTACAGGCCCTGTTCTTATATTTTGGGCCCCAGATGGGCAGAGGGCTGATAGGGAGACACAAAGGAGAGTGGGAATCCACCACCCACCCCTGCTGTCACCCAGGAGCCCAGTGAAGAAAGAAGGCCCACCCAGCCCCTCACTCAGCGCAAGGCCTTCTCTCCTTCCCAGGTGGTTTATATGGATTCCTCCAGCATTGCAGGGGAGCGTTAGCTTCTTAAAAAAGCAATGAGTTCTGTGGA